TAATTTAAAGAAATGAGTATTGGTAATAAGTCTGCCTTTAATGGCTCATTCCATTAACAAGTCTGTGGCTATTTCTGCTGATAGGAATCGTCTATTCTTAAAGCTCACTGGTATCTGATGATGTACAATGATTGCTTATTTCTGCATACCAGACAATTATGGCTCTGCCTGATCCCCAAATGAGCCACTCAATTATATATGCGTGCATATAAATGCTAACACTTCGAAGAGTAATCAAGTTATTTATCCGACCATGATGCTGCCATTGTAGGTTGAAAGAAAGTGAAAATATGTGGAAATATAGGACCATAGCAAACTTCCAGCCAGTATTCTACCTGTGATCCACATACAAAATGCAAATTCGTCAGACTCTTCTTGCTGCTCAGAGATTGTTTTACTGAAGAAGGTTCAAGACTTAAGGGTATCTACAAATGAGAAAGTTCTAAATGGTTAGTAATTGTTGTTAGTAATTAAATCTGTGTACCACCATCATCTCAGGGCAGTTCACAATATTACTTTTGGTTCGTCTGTCCCCAGATCTGAGATAAAATGGAATACAACTCGCCAAATGACTTTCCCTCTGTATTTTTGTTTTTACATCACAAAGCGCCCTTGCAGAAACACAGGCGACCTCTTCTTGACAAATGTAGTACAAAACCATGAAACCCCTTTGTCTCTCATATAGATACGTTTACTTTCTCTAAGCCCTCTTACACGTTGAAAACCATAATAGAAGAAATAAATCAGTAGCCACCTCAACAGAAACAAAAAGTGCTCAGCAAGGACAAAGGGAAAGCAACACGTTCAGTCAAAAATACGAGTACAAGGAAAGTTAAATTGCTAAATGATGCCTTCTTTAGGTCAAATATCTCACATATTTCACCAGGGTTTCACTTACTCCCCCACACCTTATGCTGTATTCTGAGAAGACATTCAGAGGCCAAGAAATATGCGTACAAAGATTCGCAAAATGTTTAGGGGTATGCGTCCCCCTGCAACCCCCCCCCCCCCCCAGAAAAAAAGCACTGAGTAAACCCTACACAAATCTGGCATGGAGTCCCTAAGACAGTTAAATGGTGCCTTGCACGCCCCTTTCTGGTAACTCCTGCAGCCAAGCTGGTGGCAAATGGATTGCTCTGCTTTCCTTTGGACCACATCAGCAAGGCCAAGACTGGGGTCTTGTTGTCTGGGCAGCCCAACACCACCATGCACAATGCCCAGGCTTGTGTCCTGGGGAGGTCATTTCGGTGCTGCTAATGCAGCAAATTGACTTCACCCCTGGAAGTGCACTCCATTGTCTTTAAAGACAAGCAAGGGGCCAACAACTACATATATACATACATCAAGGAAGGGTGGCAAAACCCTTCACCAATGCTCCTGCGAAACTCTGCCACCAAACTTCCTTCTATAGCACCAGTTGTTTGGGTAACTTACTAACACCTTGCTTGGTTTATTGTCCTCACTGCTAAATAAAACTGATAGAAGTGGAAGCAGATCCATGTGTCACGCTGCTTTGGGGCATTTTCAAGCCAACTTGTCATCCATGTGACTGACAAAAAATTAGGAGAAAGCTGCCTCTGTTAGTCATCTGTGCGCATCACATTAAGGGAGGGAGGGAGGGCAACTTGGTCCATTTATTCCAGTTTCAACACTGGTTTGTAAGAAAGCCTGGAGGCTTCCTCACTACAATCAAGTTGTCATCTAGTGGAAGTCAGGGAATTAAAAACAACACCAACATGTGCATCTAAATGGAAGCATATGGTAGTGACCTAAAAACAAATACCCCAAGTAGGATGGAAAGATAAAAAGACTTGCCATAAAAATAAAAGTGGCTATTTAAATGCAGTTTCAAAATGATGGGGCATAATATTTCAATAATGCAATTAGGGCTTGGAAAGCAAAAACCAGGTTTGAGGGGGCCATGGGCAATGTGTTCTCTGGTGGGCCCCCTCCCCTGACAATCTTACTCAGCTGTGGCGACAGCAATGCAAGCAGTTTGGGAACACTGGATTGTCAGAAGCAGATTGGTGTGACCTTGATGAAGGACTTTGAGATTGAGTCACATTCTGCCTTGGGACTAGCACGTTTGACTGTACTTTTCATTCTGTCTTAACCTGCAAATAACATAGCATTTTCACAAAGGAACCACTATGGTGGTGCAGTGCATTCTCCTCCAGGGCAGACCTGTATGCTATAACCGAGGGATGAGAAACCTCAATCCCAGAGGCTGAAAGTAACCCTTCAGCCCTATCAGACTCCTGGAATTCTCCCCAGGCCACGCCCTCTCTCCTCAAGCCACGCCCCTTGCTGGTCCAGCTCCACACCCCAAGTGTTTTTGCCTGGCTGGAATTTGTCCTAAACTCTGATAATACCTCTTGCCTGTTTGGATCATCGAGAAGGATTTGTGAGTAGGAACTAGGTCTCTGCCCTGGATTTGTGGTGTTCCCCGAAAATCTGATCAGTTAAAAGGGCCACACTTTCCCCATCCCTGACCTATATCCTAGCCAAAATTTAATGATAAATTGTTGTGATGATAAATTGGGGAAGGAAAAACCTTCTTGGTACAGCATCTTGGACTCCTTATGGGTGGGGAACAGAGGTGGCAGATAAAACATAATAAACAAACAAGAGGGGATTGTAGGGGAAGACCTGCCAAAAAAGCTGAAAAACATCTTCATGTATGCAACAACGGCCGCGAGAGTTCTGGTAGCACAAGGATGGAAGACTGAAGAAACCCCAACTAAAGAATCATGGCAAGAAAAATTGACGGACTATGCAGAACTGGCAAAACTGACATATAAGCTACGGGGCAAGGATAACTGTGACTTTAAGGATGAATGGGAACCCTTTACAAAGTATCTGAAGATGCAACAAAGTGAACTGGACTCCTTGGCAGGTTTTGAATAAACATTCACAAACTTTTTATTGATAATAATCAGCTAAATAGTTTGAGGATCTATACAACTTTGTAACATGCAGAAAACAGCAGTCTCAGAGAAACCAAAGACTGGAACTGAGGGAAGTCGGAGGGTGGGGGCGGGTGGGTTTTGTGTGGGAGGGGGGAGGGAGGAAAAATGGGGGGGGGACAAGGATAATATGTTTTTGGATAATATGTCTTGTTTTAATTTTGAATAAAAAAAATTTAAAACAAACAAACAAACAAGAGTTCAAATCAAATGCCTCTTTAGTGGAAGAGCTTCGTGGGTGGCACTGTGGGTTAAACCACAGAACCTAGGACTTGCCGATCAGAAGGTTGGCGGTTCAAAGCCCCATGACGGGGTGAGCTCCCATTGCTCGGTCCCTGTTCCTGCCAACCTAGCAGTTCAAAAGCACATCAAAGTGCAAGTAGATAAATAGGTACCGCTCCGGCAGGAAGGTAAACGGCATTTCCGTGCACTGCTCTGGTTCGCCAGAAGCAGCTTAGTCATGCTGGCCACATGACCCGGAAGCTGTCTGCGGACAAACGCCGGCTCCCTCGGCCAATAAAGCGAGATGAGCGCCGCAACCCCAGAGTCAGTCAAGACTGGACCTAATGGTCAGGGGTACCTTTACCTTTACCTTTTCCGCTTAGTGGCAGGGCATCTGCTTTGCATGAAAGGCACATGTTCAATCCCTAGAATCTGCAGGCAGGGCTGGGAACATCTCCTGCCTGAAACCGCAGACAGCAGCTCCCAGTCAGTGTAGACAAGGCTGACTTTGATAGAGCAGTGATCCGGCATGGTACATAAGGCAGCTGTCTATGTGAAAATGCGGGTGTTTGTGCACAGTTCTTCCTCGTCGACAGAGAGGACAACATGGGCGTAGCCAGGGGATTCACCAAATCAAGTAAATAAATAAAAATACTTAACTAAAAGTAGAAATTGTAGAAAGGTTTTGACAGGTTTTTCTGAACACTTGGTGTCAAAAGAAAGTAATTTAAAGCAACTGTTGTTGAGACATTTCATTCTGAATCTGCTAGACAGAGGACGTTGAAAGGTCGGTGTCCTGCCCTCCTAACACTAATCCTGGCTATGCCCATGGAGGACAATATCTAGCATCATAAGGATGCCGAGGGGTCCCTTTGGTCCCCCCCCCCATATTTTTTTGGAGGGGGCCAGTCTCCCCAAAGTTATTGGGTATTGCCATTCAAATGGTGTGCATGCACAGCATCAAGTGATCAATTATGTGAGGAATGGGGAAAATTAACTTAAAGACGACTGTAAACAGCTAAAATCGTTAGTAGGATTGGAATAGCACTTGTCGTTTAAGGTTGATTCTGGACATAATGGAAGAAGTAAAGGGTTTGGATTATGGTAAAAGATGCGGGAGGAACTGATTGATAGGACCTACATAGGGGAGGATGGAGAATCCATTGAATCTTGTTTTTATGATTTATGTTTGATATATCTGTAAAATTTGAAGTTGAAAAATCAAATAAATAAATTTAATTAAGTTGTTAATTATGCAGGCCGGGGCTTACCTGCCCCTCCCTCCATATTTTATTCAACTTTTTTTAATTAATTTTCACAAAATTATAAACAAACAAAACTCACAAACATAAATCATAACCTTATTAAAATTACACTTATTAACGTCGTTAAGTGACTTCCTCGCTTCCCCTTGGTTGAATTTCCATGCATATCCTTACATCGGCTTTCCAAGTCCATCTTTTATTCAAGTTAGCGCCCCTGCTCAGCGCGCATTTTGCGTTTGCGCGACCAGCAGATCACCTCCGAGGCGCCCCTTTCCCTCGCCCGCGTTTCTTTTACGCGCAGCCCAGAGTTCCTTTAAGGACTGCCGCTCTGCTTGCTCTGCCCTGGAGCCAACGCTCCGCACGGTCGGGTAAATCTTCGCTGCCAGCTTTGCAAATTCGACGGAAGGAAGAGGGAGAGCGAGGAATGACTAAGCGAGCTCCCGGCGCCTCCGCTCCGCTCGCTCGTACCGTATAAAGGGCCTCTCCACCAGCAAGGGGGTCGCAATGGACCGCCACCGCCCGCGTCCAAGTCGGCAGGAGCAGCAGCATGTGGCCCGCGCAAGACGCCGCCAAGGAAGGTAACTGGGCACTGGGCAGGTAACTGGGCACTGGGCGGGCGGGCCGAGCTGCGATTGGTGCGTCTCCGGCGGCGGCGCTGCGCGATTGGCCCGCCCACGCTCTCCGCTCTGCTCCCTCCAGGTGTCGCTTGGCCTGTGCTGCTCTTGCTGTGGGCGCTCGAAAAGCCGCTGGGAGGAGGCTGCTCCGTGGCCGAGTGTGCCGGCGAAGACGCCGACTGCCGCTTCTTAGCTGTGGCTGATCTCTTCGACCGGGTCATCCTGCACTCCAGCAGGATCTACAGGCTCTCCACAGCCCTCCACTTAGATCTGGTGGTGAGTTTCTGGGCTTGTCCCAACTTCCCCCTTACTTCCATTCTCGAGCTGCGGTGGGTTGATTTTAAAATATGTGGCGGAAGGAGGGGAAAAATTATGGCGTTGTTCTTGTTTTTATATATATTTTTATTATGTATTATGTGTTTTTATATTGTAATTTTATGGTGTGAAACACCCTGAGACCTGCGGCTATAGGGTTGCCATATTTCAAGAAGTAAAAAAATACAGACACCCCCAAAGTTGTTGAGGTGCTTTTTTTCAGGAAAACTCCAAAATTCCACCTTCCAGAAATTCCTCCCCGGACGTCGCTTCTGCCTTTGAAATCCCGGTAACGTCCAGAAAATCCCGGACTTATGGCAGCACTGGGTATAAAAATACAATAGTCAAACACAGAAGACTAACTGCCCAATTGTGTGCATATTTATGGTATTCAAATGTTCTTTCCCACCCCATATATTGTTGTTGTTGTTGTTGTGTGTGTGTGTACACACACACATATACACAAATAGACACCTACTCATATCTTCTTTTCAGAAGTTTAAAAGCCATTGTGATGTAGTGGTTAGAGACCTGGGGAAGAACCAGCTTCAAATTGCCACTCTTACTTAAAGCTCATTGCTGTGGTTTAGGGGGGAGGTCATTTTTTCCCAGCCTAAAGTGAGGGCAGGGGAGAACTATGTAGACTGCCTTGAGCTTCTTGGAGGACAGGTGGGATTAAAATGGATGGGTGGATAATGCTAGGATAGCAGTCTTTATTTCATAACCCCATCTTCCTGAACATGAAGCCTACGTGTGCACCTCTTGCAAACCTGTGAGTTCAATAGCTATTTCCTCATATGTATTTTGGGAGCCGTAGCTGTTAGGTGCAATACGGTACCTTTGGATGCACACGGTACCAGACAACATCTGGTTTTGTTGCGCCATCAGGGAAGTATTAGGTCCTGTCCTATCCATGCAGCCTCCTCAAGTTGTTGACTGTGGAAAAGATCTATGCTCTGACAAATTAACTCCTGAGACCTTCTTCTTTCATTTGCAGGGAAAATATTTTCTACCCGGTGGGAACGAGCTGACCAAATCTGTTGGCAAATGCCACACCTCCTGGTTGTTGACTCCCAATGCCAAAGAATATGTTCAGAAAATGCCAGTAAGTACAACATGGCATGATCTACATTGCTGATGTAGCCAGTTACCCAGTTTGGGGGCAAGGGACTTGGCCACAAGACAACCAGTGGATCCTTCCAGCATAATTTCTCTGACAAACATCACTTCCATACAACTTTTTAGTGATTATTCAACTTGATTTGTTTGCCCAATTTTGGGGGGAGGTTCTATGATGCCCACGTTTTATTGGGGACCCGTTTGGATTTGCTTAAGAAAGCTTTTGTTGAGGTGACACTATGTCTAACATTTGGTGGGGAGGTTCTACAACATTGTGTCAATCAAATGCTCCACTCTTTCCAGTGCACTTTCATTATCGCAAAATGTGGTTGTTGGTTGGTTTTTTTAAGTAAGTGAATTCATTGCACTAGAATGCCAAAACCGCTCATGTTCTGGAGGAAGAGTTGGCTGCCTGCATCCACATTAAATTTATGCTCCCTCTTCCTTCTCCTCTGCCATTAACATGGTCAAGTTGTATTACAACATGCACCTCTCTGATCTACACCAACCTTTGGGAATCCCCAGTGGCTCTCCTCTACCTTTGCTGCTCTGCTGATGTCTGGCACACCACCTCTCTCCTCTTTGCACTCTGCCCATGTCTTTGCTTCTTTCCGCAGAGCCATATGCTCTAATCTCTTGTTCTTCCTCTCCCCACTTCCCCTTCTCTACCTCCTTCTCTACCTCCCTTCTCTCTCCTCCTGCAGCTCTCTGTAAATTTTCATAATTTCTCTGTCTAGCTTGAAGAGTTCAGGGCTGTGCTAGTCCCCTTCTAACCTCCCTTCCTCTTCATCTCATCCCTTCCTCTTTCCTGTTTACCATCTCCCTTGCCCTCTTCCTCCTTTCAGTCACAAAAACGGTCTCTTTTTCTCTCCCACTAGAGTCAGTCAGCATGGTGCCCTCCAGATATTGCCGGACTGCAACTCCCATCATCTCTGACCATTGGTAACGCTGGCTATGGCTGATGGGAATTGCAGTCCAACAGCTGGAAGCCACCATGTTGGCCATGCTTGCACCAGAGGAAGAAGGAAGCAGTTTTCACTGACCACCATCCCAGTGCCCTCGCCCCCCAAAAAGCTGCCATGGAAGATCAGGCGTTTGGAACAGCATGGGAGGTGGCGTTGGGAGGTGCAAGGTGAAGGAGGAATTGGGGCATGGAGGGGGAATCACTTCCTCAGCTTCCTTCAGCAGAGCACCCCATGAGCAGAATTTTCACTCATGAGGGAGTCTTGATCCAACTCACAATGCTGAATATGCTGGAAGGGAACAGGGATGGAAAGGACAGCCAAGGCAAATTGATATTTGTCTTCTTTTATCTGTCTCTCTTGTACACTCAGAGAGAAGAGCTAACGCAATTGATCCTAAGGCTTTTGCAAGCCTGGAAAGAGCCTCTGTCCCACTTTGACCAGAGCAGAGTCCATCATCCTAAATTGTCGGATGGGAACCTGCACAAAGCCAAGGAAATCAGCAACATGGTGCAGGAGCTGGAGACGGGAGTGGAAAAAATCACGGAGAAGGCTAGTTTGGTTAAATTCAGGCAGAACGGAACTTTGCTTGTGACTTGTATGTTGTGCCCTGTGGGAAACAAGCCTTACAACAGGGCTTAAGGATCTTTTTCAGCCTTTTCCCAGCCCTCATTCCCTTCTAAGCAGCCTTTTAAGAACCACATGCCCTTACCAGAGTTCAAGGACAAATTCCAGGCAGGCAAACAGCAGTCAAGGAGAGTATGAAGCAGGCTGGAGAGGGGTGTGGCCTGGGAAGAGGAGGTGTGGCTAAGGAGGGGGTGGAGCCTCAGGAGAATCTCAAGAGCTCAACAGACAAGCAAAGGGTGCTTAGTGAAGAGATCCCATTGGTATAAGTTTTCTAAAGTATCCCTGTGAGATAGAATGCTCTTTGTCCATAGCTGTAAGCCTGACATCACTCACCTAGGAACAAGCCCCATTGAGTTCAATAGCACTTACTTCTGAGGCTTTCAGTCCAAGTTAACATCCTATAAACCTGCCTTTCTCCACCTTGAAATTTCCAATGAAAGCCCCAAGTGGCAGAAGTATAGTATCAAAAAGTCAGCTATGAATGGATTTTTACATGGGATTCAAGGAATATTTATTCTTCTTCCGTGATCACTAGAAGAGGCAAATAACTATGCTGCAATCTTGGCCTCCTAACTATTGGAAATCCTTCTCAGTTCTCCCTGCCCAATCAACCATTTCTATAATCTGTAAGGACTAGAAACTTGTGCTGTTTTAAATGAATGCTGAGATTACCACGGTATTTCTTTTAATAAAAAATAAAATTCTGTGCTTCTGCAGTTAAGTCACAGCCTATGTAAATCCCTGGTACTACTTCCACATTTCTAGTTTAATGCTAAAATGCTAGTCTTGAAAGTTTAGAATAATGCCATGTCAGTTATTTCTGAGCACATTGGTTAAAACTATTCATAACTGAATATTTCACGAACTCTGATTCTGATATTTTTAACTCTAGTCCTATCATTATTTTTTTCAGGAATGTAGGTTTGGTTTTGTGTACATCCTGTCTTCATTTCATTTCATTTTTCTTTCTTTTATTCAGATGCAATCAATGGGGATTTTCAGCAATTCGCTCAGCGGCGTGGGATCATCCGAAGCAGCTGGTTTATCCATTAATAATGAAGGCAATTTAATGAGTGACTATGAGTTTATCCATTGCTTCAGGAGAGACTCCAACAAAGTACAAAACTACTTAAAAGTTCTCAAATGTAGGATTGTGCCAGCAAATAGTTGCTGAATTTTTTAAATCTGCAATGGCAAGGCAGTTTCCAGAACTAGCATTGTGTATTGTCTGTGGACGGTGAGCAAAATAATTTATAAAGGTCTTTATCATGCCTGCGGTCTCATTGAATTATTAACTGAAAAGCTGGATTCAGATAGCTTTGCCCCCGATTTCTTTTCCATTGTAATCGGCTGAAAAATTAAAGAGGACAAATTATGACTATGTGGCTTAACACAGCAGACAAAATGCACTTTGGTGATAGCTCACAAATCAAATGCTGCATGAAATTGCATTTTAAATAGTTCATTTTTTTTAATGTGAGCATGGAACTAGTAAAACGATCACTAGCCGGAAAAGCACACCTGGTTCTTCGATAATGATTATTATAAGTTTGTGGGGACAAGGATCCCTTAAACTCCTGGGTGCTAGATCTTCCCCTTATAGTAAATGTTAGAATTAATCAAGGTTTGAGTAAGCTGTGCCAAACACTTGTGCCAGCCTTGAAAGACCAGCAATAACAGAACAAAATATGAGCCATCAAGACATTCAGTACCAGACACCAAGGGCAGAGACAAAAAGGTTTGAAAAAGGTTTAGGATTTTCGTTGGGCCTGATGTAAGTTAGCAGGAAGGTCAGTTTGCAAGCTAGATCAGAACTCCTTATGGGCTGACTACGACAGGCTGTAACAGCGAAAGAGAGCGCATGGCTGATATGTGTGTTTTGCAGCCAAATGCTTTTGCAACTATGGGAGAAGCAGGACAATCTCTTGGAAGTGTGATGCTGGGAATTCCCTCCAGCTAGACACAGGTTGTATATATGTGTAAATAAACTATAGATCATAAAGTCACCACATTTCTCCACGGTATCTCATTGCCCAGAATGGAAAAGAAAATAATAAACCGTGGCAAGCACACCTAGTACCCCCGGAATCTCACACCGCACATAGATTGGGATGGTGTGTAATAGTATTATTTCTCTCTCTCTCTTGTATTTATTTCCCATAACATCAGATGGACTAGCTCCTTACTTTGATTTCAAGGTTTTAAAATGGTTTCGCTTCAGTACACTCCTGGCCTAGAGTGGAACACACACAGAGATGTGGTGGAGCGAAGGCTGCTCATTCACTTCAATGGAAGAGGCAGCTCTCCTTGGTTTTTCTTGGCTTCTGCCTCATTTCTTGTTTGGGCACAATTCCACCACAGATATGCCACCAATCCGATGTTCATTTACTTGCAAGTAAGCTCTGTGTCACTCAATGGAACGTGCTGCCGCGTGAGCTTACTTGGGGCTGGAGCCTAAAATTGGCTTAAAAGTGACATTTCTTCATCCCAAAAAGCTGGTTTTATAAAAGGTTAGGTAAACCTCCAAAATGTATTTTGTATAGTTAGGTTTTTACCTCTATCTTCAGTACATTTTATTGCTATGGCTAGTGGCTGATGCAAATAAAGATTCTTCTGATCTAAAGGGTTAGGAATCTCTTTATAGAGGATTCTCTGTGTATCCACCAAACCACAGTTTCCAGGGTTCTTTGGGGAAGACAGGACAGGAACTTGGTACAAAACTGATATAAAATTGTAGCATAAATAGGCTCTCAGGTTCTTTTTTGTTGTTGTTTTGTCTCATCTACCATTGCTTGACTCTCTGGTATCTTCTTAGCCATGACTGAGTTTACTGCCAGGACTTAGATTCTACCACCATATCTCACCTTAGCCCCACAACATCTACCACATTATCTATGACAAGTAAAGACGATAAGCTGATATCATCATGCATTATAGGTTTTATCGCTTCCCTAATGACCTTTAGAGGAGGTATGGCGTATGGAACACTTCATCACATGGCGGCTTCTACTTCTAAGATGGTCATATTGCACTTATAAAATTGACCTCCTCATATGGCAGTGCAGTAAGGCATTCTTAAAACAGGCAGCCACAACATGGCTGACTTTTTCAACATGCAGAGAATGCCAGGGCCATACCTCCTGCCACTCTGTGGTCTAAATCTCTTGGGCTTGCTGATTGGGTCGGCAGTTTGAATCCCCACGACGGGTAAGCTCCTGTTGCTCTGTCCCAGCTCCTGCCAACCTAGCAGTTCGAAAGCATGCCAGTGCAAGTAGATAACTAGGTACTATTGCGTCAGGAAGGTAGACAGTGTTTTTGTGTGCTCTGGTTTCCGTCACAGTGTCCTGTTGCGCCAGATACTGTTTAGTCATGCTGGCTACATGACCCAAAAAGCTGTCTGTGGACAAATGCCGGCTCCCATGGCCTGAAAAGCGAGATGAGCGCTGCAACCCCATAGTCGCCTTTGACTGGACTTAACCGTCCAGGGGTCCTTTACCTTTACTTTTCACCTGCTTTATAAATGATTTGATCCTCTGTCCCAGGAATGGGGAACCTGTGGCTGTCCTGATGATGTTGGGACTACAGATCCCCTCATCCCTAACCATTGGCCATGCTGACAGGCGCTGATGGGAGTTTGAGTCCAACAACACATGGAAGGAAGGCCTCAGATCCCAGCATCCCAGCTTTAGAGAAGACATTAGTGTTGTGAAATGTTGAATTAATTGGTCTGGAGGGAATGACCACAAACACTTCAGTTGCATGTTGTGTGTACCACCATGTGTTCTGAACTTCACATTCAACCTTTAAAGTTCATTTACCACCAGTTCCTTCCTACTTCACTTACAAGTACTGTTCAAGGCCAGAAGGCACATATGAGGGAAGAAGACTGACTAGGGAATCTTTCTTATAGCATTAGTTTTTGCCAATGTGAACGTGTTACATTTTTCTTTTAGCAAATGGCGGAGTATAGAAACTAATTCAGTGTCCATATAAAATACAGTTAGTCTTGTGGGAGGAATCATCCTCAATCAATGGTCAGTTATCATTTTGCTCCATCAGTTCCCCCCACCCCAAATGATACAACGTCCTTCTCTGTGCTGTCTTGTTCTCGATACAAATGTAATGTATCAGGAGAGGAGTTTGCTCTTGTAGGTATCTGCAAGCTGCTTCTGCCATTCTGTCTCTCAGAATGTTCCGGGAGGCTCTGCCATCTTGGACCTGACTGCTGTTGAGCTATTTCCCAAACAGGACATGGCGAGGAGGTAAAATTCAAAGATTTGGAAAGGTAGGTCTCTTGAAGACCTTCCTCTGGCAGGCACCTGTTTGACAGCACTTCTTTTTCTTTGGAGTTTCGCCATTTCATCCTTCGATTTTGAAACCAGATTTTGACCTGTTGGTGGGGTAATTCGACACTATTATTGTTGGTTTCTTAAGATAATTCCACCTACCTTATGCACCTTAATAATATAATACCAACTCTGGGCAGCTTCCAACAAAATATTAAAATACTGTAATACATCAAACATTAAAAGCTTCCCTAGAAAGGGCTGCCTTGAGATGTCTTCTAAAAGTCTGGTAGTTGTTGTTCTCTTTGACATCTGGTGGGAAGGAGTTCCACAGGGCGGGTGCCACTACCAAGAAGGCCCTCTGCCTAGTTCCCTGTAACTTGGCTTCTCGCAGTGAGGGAACCGCCAGAAGGCCCTCGGCGCTGGACCTCAGTGTCCAGGCAGAATGATGTGGGTGGAGACACGCTTTCAGATATACCGGACCGAGGCCTTAAGTTTTTCATTCCCCTCTCTGAGCCTAACCAAAAGCCACCCTTACGTACCAAGATGAACTCCACTTTAGGAGGTTAACAAAACCCTGTTATACTTCTGCTCAAACAAGGAACAGAGCAGCGGCACCGGCGGAGGAACTGGAGTGCAGAGGGAGCAGACCGCCCCCCAGCACCACTATTCCTGTAGGGTGCTATTGTGGTGCCCCCCCCCAACACACGTTGCGCACCTCCCCGTGCGCGCACCAGGCGCCACGCCCCCCAGGGCACGCTACACCCTTGCAGACGGATGCCACGCCTCCGGGGACGCCAGCCACGCCCCCGCCTGCTCTCCACCCCTGGTAGCAGAGCAACGCAGCTCTGCCACTGAGCAGAGGTTCAGAACACAGCTGACGAGGTACCAAACCTCTCTGTACCTGTGACTCTTTGAGACCCAGACTGAGGGCCAGTTTCTTCCTGTCTGTTTTGCTGATGTATTTCTGCTTCTGGAACATTTTCTCCAAAGCTTTTCTTTGATCTTCAGAAAAAACAGCTCTTCTTAAAATGCCTCTCCGGGATCGGGAATCCTGGGTTAGAAGAGGCAGAACACTTTCCTGTCCTGCAGCAAGAAAAACGGAGCAGCGCACATTAGTGTCATTGATCCAATTAGCCAGATTTTGGGGGTGGGAATCCTGCATATAACCTGGCAGGCCAATTTCAAAGAGTTCCCATACGGCTATGTTTCAGAGATGCTGTTGCAGCACAATAAACTGCTGCAGCTAAAGCCCATGCAACATATCTGTCCTTAAATATTACACCTCATTCTACAGCAATTGAACCCAGATGTTCTATGTGAAAAGGACATGCTCTGCCATTCAGTTACATCCCTTTCCGAAGTGTGTGTGATCAGAATGCTGGCCAAGTAAAGTTATTTGAATTAGGCCCCAGTCTTCTAGAAAACTCTGGATAACTCACAAGATTCCTATAATCTCTGATTGGTTCAGATTAGTTCAGACAAACAGAAAATCTAACCTGTTTTAACAGGAGGTATAGAGCTAACCACTACAAAAAATAAAATAAAACCACAAGTTTAAATCAGATCTTACATTCTGAGCAATGTCCTCATTGTGATAAAGAACTTTATGGATTCCCACCCCTCACCCCCGATCTACTGTAGGCAGAAGAATAAGTTCACCTATAGATCACAATGGTTTTGTCAGGACAAATCAGCTGCAACAAGCTTGCAGGCCTGTGCAGCTGAACTCCACCCTTGAAGGATGTAATACCATGTTGACACAAACGCTAATATGGTACCAAATAGTTTTGGGGGGAAAAGCTTCTCCTTTGCATTCTAGTATATGGTGATAAATGTCTCCTTAATCTGTGGAACAATCTTCATTTGCCTTTGTGGCAGAGACCACCTTGAAGGAGCGAGTAAAGGCTTTCGTCATGGTTTCCATTTTTTCCATTGCAATTCAATACACTCTAGTTAAATGGACAATTAATAGGTCACTTCCAAAATAGTAGTGTATCAGTCCTGGTTAATAAACAATTGCCGCAGTTGATAATGGGCCCAGTGTATTCAGTGGGTGCCTGTATGCGCTCGGCTCAGCTCACTAAATCCCTTTTCAGGTAGACAGGGTTATATGGGAAGATGAGCTAGAATGAGTCTATAAAAGTCAGTTTCATTCACTGCTTTATTTTTCAGTCAAGTGCTTTAAATGGTGTCCAGAAATCCTCGCGGAATGCGAGACAGGAGAAAAGATCTGCGCACAGAACCCCGCTTTATGGCCACACAAAAGGGCAAGTGACCCCTGGCCCGGCCCTTTCAGCCCAAAATGGTTCCTAAAGTTCATCGGCACAGTGAAAAATGGTGGTGAGGTCGCGTGTGGATGAGTAAAGTGAAAGTGGCAATTGGTCACGGCGCTGTTGCCCATTGTGAGGTAGCTGGGCCCATGTAAAACGCTCTGTGGGAAAGTGTCAGCTCCCTAAAGAGCGGCTCTGAAACTTGCAGCTCATTAAACTGGCAGCATTTACTGCCTCACTTGTCAAGAATCATTCGACTTAGCAACTAGCCTCCTGAAACATTCATAAAGAAGCCTCTTCTACCATCGCCCCCCCAACCACCTAGGCAGCCGCCTCCTAGAAATCTGTCACTAGCACAAGGAGATCCTTCCAGCAGCCATATCTTCCAGCATGCATTTAGATTATTGTTTGGGGTCTTCCCGTAGGCATCGGGATGTTGAACTGGATTTATCTGGCTTATTTGATTTATTTTCAATATTCGAGGGCAGCTTTCCACCAAGCAGTTTACAGAGCGATCAGTGAAACAACCCATCAATCAAAACAGAGAAGTGTTCAAAACAAACAGAAAGCTCATCAGCCCCATTAAGAGTCAAAGCATAACTTACTTTAAAATGACAAGGAAAGGTCTTTGTCAAGTACCTTGAAGTTCAACAGGAAGAGGGTCTTTCTGATCATATCCGGGAGGGATTGCCAAAGAATCAGACCCACAGTACTGATAGCAGTGCTATTTTTCTAGAAAAAGAGGTGCCGGAACTCACTCTCCCTTGTTCTCTTATAATGGCAATGGTGTCCACCTGAGAGGTGCTGGAACTGAGTTCTGGCAAGCTCCAATTGAAAAAATAGGACTTTGGACTAGAGCCAGCAGGGCTCTGATGTTATTATTTCACTGTATTCATTCTTTTTGAGAGCATTTGACCCCAGTTTCACTTCCTTCAGATATTCCAGTTACTATCAACAAGAATTTCTGTTGTTGTTGTGAGGATGGAAGCTTTTGGGTTCCTAACATCTGCAACCTAAACAGATGTGTCAAGAAAGGGGATCCTACCTAAATCTACTGTACTAGCCTACCTAAATCTACTGGACTAGCGTAGGTGGCGCTGTCATCTAAACCACTGAGCTTCTTGGGCTTGCCGATCGGAAGGTCAATGGTTCTAATCCCTCTGATGGGGTGAGCTCCTGCTGCTCTGCCCCAACTTCTGCCAACCTAGCAGTTCAAAACTGCACCAGTGCAAGTAGATAAATAGGTACTGCTGCAGCGGGAAGGTAAACAACGTTTCTGTGTGCTCTGGTTTCTGTCACAGTGTTCCATTGCGCCAGAAGCAGTTTAGTCATGCTGGCCACATGACCCGGAAACCTGTCTGTGGACAAACACTGGCTCCCTCGGCCTGAAAGCAAGATGTGTGCCGCAACCCCATAGTCGCCTTTGACTGAACTTAACCATCCAGGGGTCCTTTACCTTTACCTTTTCACCTTGCTGGATCTAAATCTACTGGACTAGCCTGAAAATTATGTCATCAAAATGGTATAACATGAATTAAACTCATAGAAAGTACCTCTTCAGATAAAAGACTTGGGTGGGGCGGAATAGTACGGTCAAGTTAGTTTGCAGTTAGTATGTGGGAATAGTTTCAGAAAAACCATGGGCCATGTTCACACCATACATTTGAAGCGCTATGATACCACTTCAAATAGTCATGGCATTCCTCAAATAATTTTGGGAGTTGTAGTTTGCTAAAGGTGCTCAGAGTTTTAAGAGACCCCTCCCCCGCCCATCTATTCCCAAAGTGGTTTAATGATTAACCCCTTTCACAGGGAACTCTAGGAACACTACCTACCTAGAAGCACATATCTAAAGCACTGGAAATGCTTAGCAAAACCGGCAAAATCTGAATAGCTTTGAAATAGGGATGGGATTCAATCAGATGAGTGAAACAAACTCTTATACTGAGCAAACGACCATTTACTTCACCCCCAGCTCCAAAAACCCTATTATCTGCTGGTACATGCTATTTCAGGAATCCTAACAGTACAAACAGTCATGGTAATGATGACGACTTTAATTTGGTGTGAAATTTCTTCTAAATTTCTCTGCTGCCTTTGTGAGCTGTAATTTGTAATTTTGTATACACACCTATTTGCGTGTTTTCATATTTGACCAAACGGAAAGAAAACTTTTTAAAAAGGTATTATGCATACATTTTCAAGTCCTCCCAACTCTAATAAGGAGATTTATCCATATGTAGAACTCTTCCACTGATAACTGTGGGACTTAAAAATATTTGGCACTATAATACCCAAATTTAAAATGTGGAAAGAATGTCCCTTTTCAAAAACAGAATCCTTATGTTTCCTAAGAGTTAGGTTTTGGCTTGTTTGTTTGTTTTTTTAATAATAAAAAAAGACTGGCATTTTGTTTTTGCATTTCCCATTTACGAATGACCATTGATTCAGGCCTTGAAAGCAAATTGTGGATCTTTTCCCAATTCTCTGAAAGCCAGATGCCTCCCTTGGTTGGCACTTTCTCTCAATGGGGTTTAAAATCTCTCACAATTACTCAGTGTACTGAAGTCTGATAAATCTTTGGAACCCTTCTGAATGGAATTGCTGTGATTTTTACAGAGGCATGAGCTCTTTGCCATTGCATCACCAATTAGGTTTTTTTTCCCCCCTCTTCCCAGCGCACATTAAATCCTGCTGCTTTGGTTTACAGAATAACTCAAGCATTACTGATGAAGCATAAAAACTTACTTGGAAAAGCAGTGGGAGACGCAGGGTGTTGACAGGACCCACCGCAGCACGTCGAATAAACTGGCGGGGCTCTCAAGAAAAAGGGCTTCAGAAGAGCTGCAAACACAGGGTTGAGTCCAATGAATGTTGCTGGCATTCACAACACTTTTAAGTATAGATAATGCTACAATAGAAATCTATTAAAGCCAATTAGCGTTTCACCATTGCTTTCTTGGTAAAAAGTGGATTCTGTTAGGCATCCACTGTGACGGGAGCAGCATTTTTTTCTGCCTAAATGCAAACACTGAGAAATGATAAGCCATCTCCTTGTGCAAGAAACTTCATCGAAACTTCATCTCATTAATTGCTTAAAAATATAACCAGATAAACCCTCCATGCACATTTATTTGCTGGCAGTTATTTTGTCAATTGTACACTTGCTTAGGTTAAGTTCCATGATTCATTAATGCTTCTAACTTCTGGAAACATTGGCTGACATTATCTCCAATTTGATAACTAATTTTGCAGAATACCCAAGCAACGGCTGTTTTAAGCCGCCATGCTATTTACTCTGAATAATTTTGGTGGCTCTAAAATGCCAGCGTTGTAGGTTAGCAAATGTGTTGCTCCAACCACACAAAGGTTGTTTGAATACCCACCAAGCACATTTTAAATCTCAACCCTAATACAGAATGCCTAGAAACAATAGTTCGCTCCAGTGAAAGGGGCTATTTGCATGCCAGTCGTTTGTGCAGTGTGACTTGCCACGTGGATCAGGAAATGTTCTCCATGGCACTGCGAAGTGCAACCCTTTCTTGGATGATTGCCCTACCTGCACAGCAAGCTGTTGCATGCTAATGGCTCGCTGCAGACAGATTGAAGGGGTCTCTGCTCAGCTGCTTCACAGGCACCAGCCCAGAAATCTCACTGCGTTTCCCTTCATCTGACTCCCAAAATAAGGATGCTTTAGGATGAGGCACCAAATTGTTGGAATTGATTGCAGGAGCACAAGTGGTGCTTCCTTGCCTCTTCCAAATACCCTCCCCCACTGTATTCACCACATTTCAAAAGCAGTTTGAGCTCCAGTGTGGGAAGGCAGCTGACGAGATATTTGCCAAGAGTGACTTCTCTGAGTTCTGCTGATTTGAGTTTCCATTTTGGTCCTCTTCCCTTTGTCACGCATATAGAAGCCACTCAAGAAGATGCCTGTTACCAATGTAATGATCAGCATAATGGAATTATGGCTGACTGTGTTGGCAGTAAATAAATACTCCAGCAGTTGTTTAAAGCTAAACTTCCATAGAAGAAATAACATTGGCGCGTGCACCTGGAATAAAAGGTTAGGGCACATAGTGAAGGTAAACCAGGGCAGATAACTTTATTAGCCATTATCAGCAAGAGATCTCCAGCGTGAATTATCATCAAGCAGGAACCACCTTATGATCTCCTTTGGGAATCCTAATGACAAACTTGGCCCTGCCTGCTTCTGCCACACCTTTCAGATGTTGAAGGAGTACTTCCTGAATCAATACTTTTCCCACCCACCCCAAGGGTCAGGACTCAGGACACTGAGGGCTCGTGCACATTTGCATTCGTCCCATGATTTCTACATATGGGAATGAGATTGTTTTATTTAATCTCACTGCTGCCCCTAGGACAAGTGTCAATCCGCAGAAAAGCCCAACTGATGTCTGTTCCAATTCAGCAATAAATGGCAGGTTTTCCCAGGGAAAGAAAAACCTCTCAGACCTGTTTCTAGAAATCGTGAGACAAATGGAAGTGCACATTGTGGGAATGTTCAGGGTGGCAGGAGAGGATATATTGTTTATTAATATCCTTCCTAACTTGCGCTAGCAAGTTCCTTCATATAGCAGAGTTACACTCCCCATTCTTACATGCACAGCAGATAGCTGGTTGCAGGCTTGTGTAAGCCTCTCACTATTATACAATTCAGTCTGTCTAAGATTGAATTGTGCGTTTCTGGTAAGGTAAAGGTAAAGGTACCCCTGCCCGTACGGGCCAGTCGTGACCGACTCTAGGGTTGCGCGCTCATCTCGCTCAAGAGGCCAGGAGCCAGCGCCGTCCGGGTCACGTGGCCAGTGTGACGAAGCTGCAACTGGCGAGCCAGCACCAGCGCCGCACACGGAAATGCCGTTTACCTTCCTGCTATAAAGTGGTACCTATTTACCTACTTGCACTGAGGGGTGCTTTCGAACTGCTAGGTGGGCAGGAGCTGGGACCGAACAACGGGAACTCACCCCGCCGCGGGGATTCGAACCGCCGACCTTACGATCAGCAAGTCCTAGGCACTGAGGTTTTACCCACAGCGCCACCCGCGTTTCTGGTAAATTCCCTTTAATCCCTCTTAAAAGAATAAAGATACGACAATCTTATTTAAAGTCAATAAAAGAAGTTTACTCACATCAGTTCACAGTTGGATTCCTGAAGGCAGACTTAGTTACAAAGATGTACACGTGGATCTACCCTATATGGGGAATAGTCCCAGTGCTTCTGCTAGTTGAGAGCTAGCAGAACACTCCTAGCTAAAAAGCTGGTCCAACGAAGAAGGAAGGGGAAAAGAGAGAGAGTACTGCCTGACTCGTCCTTTTGTTACCTGGACAGGTAAGGTCACACCCACCTCTAGTCACATGCAAGGAAGGATGCTCCAGCCCAGGAAGAACAGGAAGTTTCAACTGGCTGGACCAACATCCCCTTGCATGTCCACTCTAGGAAAACAAGAAATGTTGTATTGACTGCTCCCAACGGATTACATCCCACACAGATGAGCCTTGAGCATAGGATAGAAAAGCTATTTGCCACATGGTTCCTGGAACCTAGCCTGTGGGCAGAAAAAAGGAAGAGGACTTGTTGCCCTTTTTGCAAGGGTGACTCATGCTGCGGCAGGGGAAGTGGCAAAAAGACTTCTCAAAGTGCTCACATTCTGACAATTCCCAGTCACAAAATACACCTGGCACCTGGCTAATTTCGAAAGCTGACCCTTAGCGCATACTTCCAGCAATCCGCAGAGTGGTTCCTTTCCCTGACCCAGGCCCTAAGATCTGATTGGCAAGCCTAAGGACCCCTCCCCCTTTCATAATGATACTTCTGAGCATGATCTACATGCACTGCACTGATGCTGTGACCAATCTACTTCACTGTGTGATGCCACCTTGTCTCAAACTCCCCTTCTGATAGGATCAGTGCAGAGCTAGAAGAAGAAGAGCAAGTCACTCTCCATCAATTTGTTCTGCAGGCAAAACCTTCCTCCTTGCAGATGAAACATCCCTTAAGCAATTGGTTGTACCACAGCCCTGTATTGGGCAGGTGCCTGTCAAGCCAATCCAGGGAGGGCTGGCAAAATGGCCGTGCAGACTTCCATGTAGCCCTTTCTGGCCTTGCCCCCTGCCAGTGTGTGCTCAGCCTGATGTCCTGACTCCTTTTGGTGCAGATGCAATGCCATCCCACGACCTCATGCATCTCGCATTAGCTTTAAGATGGTGGGAAGCCTGTAGCCTCAGAGGCATTCTTGGACTCTTATCACCAAATGACCACATGTTCCCTCAGCCTTGCTCTATACAGATGCCAAAGGAGTAGACCCGGATTTTTTGACCTGGATCCTAATCTCTTGGGTGGGGAGAGTTGTGGAAATCCTTTATGGAGTGAAGCTCCTTCATGGGGTGAAGAGTTAGAATGGATGGATTTAAACTCATTGGAGACTCTTGAGAGTCCCATGGACTGCAAGAAGATCAAACCTATCCATTCTGAAGGAAATCAGCCCTGAGTGCTCACTGGAAGGACAAATCCTGAAGCTGAGGCTCCAATACTTTGGCCACCTCATGAAGAGAAGACTCCCTGGAAAAGACCCTGATGTTGGGAAAGATGGAGGGCACAAGGAGAAGGGGACAACAGAGGACAAGATGGTTGGATAGTGTTCTCGAAGCTACCAGCATGAGTTTGCCAAACTGTGGGAGGCAGTGGAAGACAGGAGTGCCTGGTGTGCTCTGGTCCATGGGGTCACGAAGAGTCGGACACAACTAAATGACTAAACAACAACAAGCAGGAGTTGGAGAACCTGTGGCCCTCCAGATGTTGGAGGCTGGTCCATTGGAGCAAGTGGGACACTATCTGAACCAACCACAGTCTGCCCTCATCCAGCCCCTGCCTGCCTGCCTTCTTACTTACAATGAGTCTAGGCCCTGGCAATCTGTGTCCTCCTCCTTAGTCTCAGCTCTTACCAAGTAAAACTCAACAGGGGGGGAGAGCATTAACAAAACTAGAAGTAGTTGGCTCCACCTGTCGTTGACTCTGGTGCCATCTACTGTTGGCCTCCCTGCTTTCTTCGCTGCTTGCCTCCAGATATTGCTGAACTAGAAGTCCCATGATTCCTGACCACTGCCCATGCTGGCTGGTGTTGATGGGGATTCAACAGCCTGGAGGGCACTGTGTTCCCTACTCCTGATGCACTGAGTCCACGGCCATTGAAAAGTATGCCATGCCCAGTGGAAAACCCAGGGTAAGACTTGGCAATGTTTAAAAAAACGCCCCCCCAAACTGCACCCACAAAGAGCCCATTCTCCTCTCATCTAATTGGCAGTTGGACTCTCATGGAAGCCAATTGCTTGCAGGCTTGAGAACAGAAATAGATGAGAATCAACAACTAAGACAGGCTGCAAGTCCCATGACATTTATTATACAGCAGATCTGCCAAAAGCCATTTCGCAGTTCCAAGTGACTAAACCTGAAGTAGGGCATGCATTTCCACAGATGCTTCTGACAGGGCCTTTCGGCTTCTGCAAGCTTGAGAGTCTGTTCTTATTTAAACACACACACCAGTTCTCCAAGCGCCTCTACCAAAGGATTCTAAGGATTCAGTTGTTATCTATCACCACAACAGCCTCCAAGTCTTTCTGGTTGGCACTTCTGAAAAGTTAAGCTCAGGAACAGGCAGAAGAAATTACGTTGGAACTGTCCCAGATAGACAGGTTTGTACTCGGACAGCTGCTTCCTGACATATCAGCTCTCAACGTGGGCCTCTGAATACGTTTATAAAATGTGGCCTGCCATGGAATGAGCTACCACTGGATTCCTTTCAGTGGAGGACAACTTCCACAGCAAAGTTGCACGTCTAGGTGAAGCCGTCCAAGCCCTCTATGTTGCCATTATAATGGTGGCAGAGGGTCCCGTCGTACCTACCTCCCAGCAGTGGTGGGGTGTGTGCTGCCCTTCCCCGCAGCAGCAGATGGTATGGCGATTTATAGCACAGCCCTGCAACCCCCTCATCTCCATGGCTAGGATGATCTAGGTGACAAAGCATCATGCCTGGTCTGGTCCCAAGAAACACAAACCAGCTGGCTGGGGTGACATGCCTAGTGCAAGCACTTCCGTAGGGATGCGTTCATCCTGAATGAATAACCAGAGTCCTGAATACAGTGGTACCTAGGGTTAAGAACTTAATTCATTCTGGAGGTCCGTTCTGAACCTGAAACTGTTCTTAACCTGAGGTACCATTTTAGCTAATGGGGCCTCCTGCTGCCGCAGCACCGCTGCCACACAATTTCTGTTCTCATCCTGAAGCAAAGTTCTTAACCTGAGGTACTATTTCTGGGTTAGCGGAGTCTGTAACCTGAAGCATATGTAACCTGAAGCATCTGTAACCCTAGGTACCACTGTACTAGCTAGAGCAAGGGGAAACTGGAAGGGTCCATAAACTGGTAGATCCACAGGGAAAGTTGCTGCTTACTGGTGGAAAGCAAGTGGATCAGACAGGCCTGCTGCTCCCAAGTTGCATGGCATCCCGAAGAGATCACCCCACAAATACTACAGATAATACACATTTAAACCCCAGTGCTCACCACCAACGCATATGGAACAACTACCACCCCCTATTTACTTACTCACGTTCGCTAATATTACTGAGTTTTTAAATATATTTGGGGGAGGGGTGTGGGTATTGGCATAGTTATTTTACTGAAGCTACCTGAAATCGTTGGATCAAATAGCCCAAGGAAATACACTGCTTTTAAAAAAATAAAATTATTCTATCAATTGGTGTATAAATTTTATGAAATCAATAAAACAGAAATCGATCTTCTAAGACGGAAGGGGGCAAAAAGAGACGATTAAGGCGGAGGCGGCGCGTTTCCGCGTCGTTTCAGAGCGCAGACGTAACAAGTGCGAAGTGGAGAACAGGATCCGGTTCGGATCCCGGGAGCGGCTTTTCGCTCTTGCGCAGCTGACGCGGAGCGTGCGGCGGGGATCGGGAGCGCGAAAGCCTCTTGCACTTCGCGGAGAGCGAGCAAGCGGGACTCCGGATTCTGCGCCAGCGAGACGCGAAAGTTCGAGTCCGGGCTTTGCGCTCCCGCGCGCCGCTTCCAGCCGCAGAACCTGAAATGAGCAAGGGAGGAGGAAGCGCGTGGATCTGCAGCTAGCCCAAGATCGAGCAAGGGGATCCTGAGCAGCCGGGATCGCTTTAGGCGGAGAGCGGGTTGGGGAGCGGGGAAGCCTGCCTGGCTGCCAGCTCGCCTGCTGGCTTGGCTCACCTGTGGCTGCGGGCGCAAAGCTGCCTTCTCTGTCCGCCGTCGAGGCGCCCGGGGCGAGGAAGGGCCAGGGGCTGCTGATCTGGGCGGCGGCTGCCGGGCACAGCTTGAGCGGGACGGGCGCGGCGGGCAGGTCGGCAGGGCCCTGCTGCGGAGCCGCCCCGCCGCCGGCCCGCAGCAAGTTCTCGATCAGGAAACTTTTGCCGAAGTTGCCGAAGCCCGGCGGGGCGGGCAGGCTGAGCAGGCCAGCCGAGCTGCCGCAGGGCCAAGCCAGGGCGCCGGGAAGCATCGCCGGGGACGGGAGGCGGCAGGAGGGGGAGCCTGGCCCGGATCCGACGCCTTGACACACAACCCCCCTCCCCCCGACGATCAGCCTCCTGCCGGCACCTCAGACGGGATCCGTAGAGGGGGCCGCGCGTGTCCCCATTCCACGCACCCACTTTCTCGTCCTTGGAGGGGGGTGGGGGTCCGAGAGAGGGGTGCTCCTTTCGTGCGCAATCGACGTGTCCCTCTCGCGCTCTGCGGAGATCCGACGCGGCGGACCAGAAGGTGTGTCCGGCCTCATTAATTACGTCCAGGAGACTTAAGGAGTGATGGACAAGGGCGACAAAGCAAGCGCGGATGGGGGAGAAGAGCTGGGCGGGGGCGCCCTCCGCCATTGGATGGGCATGGAGCCTCCTCGAAACCATTGGATCGCCGGGTGCCCCTTCTTGGCCGGCGCTGCAGGGGCTTCCCGGTTCCTTATGCGTGCCCTCAAATGCTCATCCCTGGCAGAGAGGCTGTGTCCCCTTCCAGATATTGCCCAAATTGAGCCGGTGAGGAAAAGGGAGCTGTGGCTACTCACTGATTGCTCTCCCCCACGCTGGGCCCAGCCACACCTTGGCTTATGGATTGTGAACCCCATAGGCATGGGCGTAGCCAGGATTTATCATTTATCAAGAGTCAGGACACCCACCTGTCATCGTTCTCAGATTCAGAACGAAATAGCTCAACAACAGTTGTTTTTTAAATTACGCTCAGAAAAAACTGTCCAGATCTTTCTACAATTTCTACTTTTAGTTAAGTGTTTTTATTTACTTACTTAATTTAGGGGGTGCAGCTGCTTCCCCCTTGGCTATATCCATGCCTTTAGGGCTCCTTTAATGCCTCCTTCCGTTTGCTAATGCCCCCCACTTTCTCTTCCCTGTATTCGGATTGTCTATGAAATCGGTGGAGCTCTCCCAGACACATTGTCAAAGGGATCTCCGAATTTAGGGAGGGGAAAGTGTGGGACAGCCGGGGGTGGGGGGCAAATGCCCTGCGGCTGAGCTGGGGTGTCTCGCAGAAGTGTAAGTGTATGCTCCAAGCTTATTGTGGGATGCACAATGGAGTCATCACATGTAAAAAGGTGTTGCGAAAAAACAATACCTTTTATTGGGGAGAATTCTAGCAAATCTCTAAAGGGACAGTTCCATGGTTATTAAAACAAAAACAAAAACAAAAAAACCCCCATCTGTTTATTAGTTCCTTCAGCTCCTTATTGAGTCTGCTTGTGGGGAAGCGATAACCAAATTCTGACTGTCTTCCAGGTTCCTCAGAGGACTTTCAAGCCCTTTATCCAATATGGGCCATCACTGGCTCCCAGTTTTGAAGCTGATTAGAATTGCCGTTGGCATCTGTGCCAACTATTGCGCATTCTGCGCTATTTGCCAACACCAATGCATTAAAAAAATCAAACCTGATCTATTGGGAAGGATAACATTAACCATGGTTGTGTTACAACAAAAGTTGTTAAATTGCTCTGAAAATATCAGACATAATTATCATTATGCTGCACTAGGTAAAACTTTTTGAAAGTGCTTCTGTTGAGAAAACTATTTAGGAGATGTTGCAGTTATTTTTTTAAAGCTATATGTGTGGTATATATTTTTTCATCTCACTGCTCCTTAAAAGTGCAAGTATTTTATGGTTTGGGCTCTGGTACCAAAGTAAGATATCGTATAATCTCCTAATCATGCTTTTGTAAGAGAACTAGGTGGTGTTTTGTTTTGTTTTTAATACATTTGCTTGTTATTAAATAACATGTTAGAAAATCTGATTTTAAAAAAGAAGCTAGTCACAGCCAAAGCCTGTATCTGTGGAATATTTGTGGAGGGGTTGAGGGAAAGGAATAACTTTTTTTATTTTATTGCATTGCATTTATTGCTTTTATATCCTCCCTTTTCTCCAAGGAGTTCAATGTGGTGTACATGGTTCGCCCCCTCCTCATCGATTCCCTACAACAACCCTGTGAGGTAGATTAGGCTGAGAGGCAGCAGCTGGAGCAAAGTCACTCAGTGAGCGTCATGACTGAGAGGGGATTTGAACCCGTGTCTTTCAGGTCCGAGTCTGACACTCTAACCACCACATGACTCTCGTTTCATCTATTTTATCAGCTCTTTACTGAAGGTAGTTTTCGGCGTTAAGTCCAGATTGAAATTCTGATTGCATCCTAACACACAGCAATTCCACTTTTTTATAGCTCAGTTCCCTCAGTCAAATTCTGTGGCATTTTGCTAATGCGGCACGTCATCCAAATCTGCAAAGCCCGTCAAGAGGAATTTGCCAGAGAAGGTCTTTTTTTGATGTTTTGTTTTTCACAAAGAGCGTGTTGAGTTATATCAAACTGAGAAGGGAGCTAGGGCATGACCATGCCATCTATTCAATCTTTTTTAATTGTTGTTTAAATAAAAGTTCAGCCTTTACACACAGAGCCAACTAAATCAGGGTTCCCCTGCATGCCTAAGATTGGACAGCACCCTTTATAACAGGATCCCAATTGGAATAAAGCAATGTAGATGTGAATGTGCATTCACAAAGCACCACAGGATGCTGTTACAACAAGCTAACAAGCCACTCAGTGGGCCATTGCAGTATCACCCACCCACAGACAGACAGACACAAGAGTAAGAGACTGATCAGGCATTTCCTTTCCAAGTAATCGTAAAGGTAAAGGTAAAGGGACCCCTGACCATTAGGTCCAGTCGTGGCCGACTCTGGGGTTGTGGCGCTCATCTCACTTTATTTGCCGAGGGAGCCGGCGTACAGCTTCTGGGTCATGTGGCCAGCATGACTAAGCCGCTTCTGGTGAACCAGAGCAGCGCACAGAAACACCGTTTTCCTTCCCACCGGAGCAGTACCTATTTATCTACTTGCACTTTGACATGCTTTCGAACTGCTAGGTTGGCAGGAGCAGGGACCGAGCAACAGGAGCTCACCCCGTCGCGGGGATTCGAACCGCCGACCTTCTGATTGGCAAGTCCTAGGCTCTGTGGTTTAACCCACAGTGCCACCCGCATCCCTGTCTCAGTAGGAGTTCTCAAATCACCAGCTTCTTCACTTTGTCCAACCTGGACTTGAGTTTACACCTTCCCCTCTTTCCTGTTCAGCATAAAAGTTTAAGGGACACTAATCTGAAACAGTATACTCTGCATTATAATTCCTTCCAATTTGTCACAGTTTCTGTCTCCTTCAGATACCTCATCCCACTTTTTTTGCAAAGTCCGCTACCAAACAGCCCTTTCCTACTGTTTATTTCTTCTCTAATCCTTCATTTTGACTGCAGTGCTAAGCATGCTTGCCTTGGCGTAAGCCCCATTCAACACAATGGGACTGGCCTGCATCACTGAGACCCGAGTGGGTAAGCAGGGTGGAGTTGGTCTCAGCCCAGCCATGCCCACCTGGGTACTCGGAGCAGCATCAGGGCAGACTTGAAGGTCGGGGAGAGTGAGTTTCTGTGGTCTATAGAAATTCCCTTTCTCCAGGCTCTCTGTCTATAATTCCATGATTCTGTGATGAAGATTACCTCAATTTTCTAAGCATTTGAGTAGCCTTGTCTAAACAAGAATGTTTTTAGCAGGCACTGAAAAGTATACAGTGGTACCTTGGGTTACATATGCTTCAGGTTACATACCTTTCAGGTTACATGCGCTTCAGGTTACAGACTCCGCTAACCCAGATATAGTGCTTCAGGTTAAGAACTTTGCTTCAGGATGAGAACAGAAATCATGCTCCGGCGACACGGCAGCAGCAGGAGGCCCCATTAGCTAAAGTGGTGCTTCAGGTTAAGAACAGTTTCAGGTTAAGAACAGACCTCTGGAACAAATTAAGTACGTAACCAGAGGTACCACTGTACAATGAAGGCTCCGGCCTGATCTCAATAGGCAGGGATTTCCAAAATTGTGGTTGCTGCTACACTACACGACTTGAATTCTTACAAATGTGGAACGGGTATTATGTGACACTTGTCAGCAGTCGACTGAAGCATATCTTTTTATTCTGGCTTTCAAATTTAAATATTTCCGCTTTCAATACAGACCTGAGAACTGTGTGCCATTAAATTTACTATTCGCTTCTGGAATTGTCCTGTGAATCACTTTGCATCACTCACTTGTCCTTGGCTTCCTCTCACTCTTTACTTAATGCTCCACCGATATACCTGTAACTGCTTGTCTACAGAGACAGCTTTGCAAACACTCGCCAGGCAGGAACTAGGTCATCTCTTTCAGCCCATTTAAGAGACTCGAAGTTCCAGGAGTTAATGGTAGGTTCTAGTGCTGGATTTATGTATAGGCTAAGTAGGCTGGAGCCTAGGGCCTCTAAATCTAGGGGGCCTCACCAGCCCTCCCACTCTGCAGTGGGCAATCTCCCCTCTCCCAAAACTGCAACCCCAAGACTTCATGCGAGGACAGGGCAACTCGGGCCTCTAAGTCTAGGGGGCCTCACCAGCCTGCCCTCTCCCCAGTGCTGCAGTCTCCCCTCTCCTAAAATTGCAAACCCAAGACTTCATGCAAGGGCAGGGCAACTCAGGCCCAGCAACTATGAGACTCAGGGCTAGCCAGTGGGGCCCAATTTGAAGCATTGGGGCACAACTTGAATTAATTTTTCTTGTAGGGCCCCAGTTCACAGCCAAAGTCTGCAAAATCTTATAGATATAAATAAAATCCATCTAGATTGCCTTGGTGCGGGGGCCTCCTTAGGAGCAGCACGCAGGGCCCAATTTGGCCAAATTGCTCCAATTGCCTTAAGGTCAGCCCTGATGAGACTGTGCAGGGGTTGGACTGACAAGCCCTGCACCTTCTAGGTCCCTGGTGTCACCATTCAGAGTACAGACTCAAGGACTTGTTATGGAAATAAGGGGGGGGCACTTATTGGAAATCTGTTTTGTCACCTCTCCCCCTCCAAACCCCAAGACAATGAGCCCAGCTACCTTTTATTCATAGTTGCATAAGCACTACACTACAGCATGGCCATAAATTTCTACGTTCAATC